ACACATAGAACACACACACACCCACAAAATTGTCTCACTATTTTTGCAGGGCCTTTCCATTGACTTCCATTCCTTTCTAGAGCCTAACTGTAACCCTTACTGTAACAATTACTGATTCATACCTAACCCCACCCTAAATAAATTCACAACATTAGTCCTAAACATGACCCCTTAACCTAAACAGCAGTAAGGAGCAGTCAGTCCCCACAACGTGCTATTTTTCCAGAAAATGCTGTTCAGGCTGTTGTTTTATTTTTTTAACAGACACTTATTGTGAAGCACTTTTGACTCTTTATAAGATATAGTGGACGACCCGTGATGCTGGGAGTTATTCTCTCCTATAGGAGTCTCTTAGATTGAGATGTACTTACTCATGGAGGGCCTTAGACATGTTCTTGTTTTTGTTTTTCTATCTATCATAGGTGCTTATCAATGACCCCTAACCAGTTTTGTTGTTTCTTATAAATATCATGTCCCTTTGAAACTTTATCATCAACATTCGTAGTGTACCTGTTGTCAGGATGTGATCCAGAAGGTTTCTGGAGCAATACTGGGCCACTGTAATGCCTGCATGTCCATCAAAAACAGCAAAGTAGGCCCAGTCTTCCAGTTCTCCCTTCAGCTGGGGCATACAGGTGTGGGCGTCCTCCATCTGAGCTCTCCAGCCCTGCATGCTTGCAACAGCATAGTTCAACCCCGAATGAGACTCCCCTTCTGCAACATGTTTCTCCAATATAGGTCGATCCAGGTAGGGGCTTGGCATTGCATCCTCTTCGTCTAAATTTTCTTCCTCCACACATCCCCTTTCCCTGGCCCCCCCTTTGAAGAAGAATGTAACTATCCTCTCAGTTTCTTTGGCCAACTGCCGTAGAAAGGAGGGCACCTCCACATTGCTGGCACGCCTGGCAGTCCTCATTACGCCACAAAGCCTTTGCTCAAGCTTCCTGCTTGATCTGCTGGTGGCCCGTCTCCTTCTGGAGCCCCTCCTCTGGCGATGTGTTTTCCTCAACAGGTCCAGGGCAACAGTTTAAGCTGTGCCAGCCCTATCAGGTAAACAACTGTTGATGCCTTCTGAGGTTCTATTTGATACAAAATCAAAAGCACTAAAAACAAATATGAATTCAGCTTTTAAAGTCAGGCCTGGTTTCTCGATTCTAAAGCTGACTTGTAGAATTCCAAAATCCTTCAGTATATGTCTCAGCCAGGAGTTTCCCCTGCCTCGCTTTCCTCCCACTCCTCTCTCTTCCTTGCTCTGCCAATTACTGTTCTCTTAGTTAATCTGTTTAGACATTCCTATTCTCTTGCCCCTCCCAGTTTCTCACACCTCACCCTGCTTTCTTCCGTCAGTAACCCTGCTTGGTAATCACCGGCTCAGCGAGGCACAAACAGATAACCTGTGTCTTTACACATGCCGAGGATTATAAGAGGACATTTTACGCAATGCAACTGAATCCCATTATCACTTCACCAAAGTGCTGCCTAAATGTTCTGTTTTATCTTTTTTTTGCATTACCTAGAATATTTATGCTTTTATACATGTTAAATTACTGCTGACAATATTTTCTCATTTTCTCTAACAAATGAAGGCTTTGTTTTTTTAATGTACTCACTGAGTGACTAACTGACTTGTGGCTGACTTGAAGCTGCAAGTAAACCAAATCATTAAAACCAACGTGCAGTTACAGAGGCTCTGTGCTCAAAAAAATATTTTCGCAAGAAGAAAGTTTGCCCTGACTCCGCAGCGATGTTTGTAACAAGTTCCTGAATTTCACAAGTCAAACAGGAAAAGCCAAGAGCCAGATAGAAAAAAAGTCCTGGTTAATTTCAGAATTAAATTAACCCACCAATCTATGGTAACTTGACTAGCAAAAACAAGATGGTATAAGAAAAACAGAATTGATGCTGATGATGAAATGGAATATTTATGGACAATAACAACGAGAATTGCCCAAAAAGTGTGAACTCATATTAACTTTTTTTGTCTGTAGCACCTTCTTAGCAGCTGGAGCCGCAGGGGGGTCACCCTGGTTGCAGTCTGGCATTTACTTAAAAACTCAAAGCCTGAGCATTCTTAACAGCTACCTTTCTAAGTTTTTATGACAAATGAATGATTTTCTTTTTAAACATTTAAATTTGTAATTTAGGACTTTGTAGAGGCAACTTCAAGTCAACATGAGAGCAAGCAGGAAAGCATTAGTCCTCAATGACTATAAACCTGTTGCCCTGACATCCCACATCATAAATGTCCTAGACAAACTTCTGTTGCCTCACCGAAACAAGCAACCATCTGGCCAAATTGTGGAATAACAACCTGTCCCTATAGCTAGTAACACCAACAACTCATTGAAGAAACCCCTTTAAGAGTTACAATAGTTACTTTTCTTTGGGATCAATTAAGTATTTTTTAATGGAATTAAACATGGATGAATGGATAGATGGATAGATTTTTGTTTCCAGGGGATCCAAACAAATGTGGCAGAAAAGAGGAGCGGTACAAATTATCATCAAATACCATAAATTGATATATGGAATAGGGATGTTCCTACATGATGTTACAGTAGGTACAAAGATTTAGAGCAATAACCTTATAAAAACAGGGAAAGTGCAATAGTATTTGTGAATGTTATAGTAATGATATGCAGTAAATATTTAAAAAGTATTTCTGGATTAGGTTCATAGTAAACACAACCCAGATAATGAGAAGGCTATCTAGCTACTGGAATAAAAAGCATAAAATGCCTTATTTCCTTCACAATGGTCAGATTTTATTTGAAATTTAATTCTGGCCAGGGTTGGTTGTTACAATTTATTTGTAAAATCCTAATAACTTGACCACTTCTTTAAATTTGTTCATTTGAAACAAATGAGCCTGAATTCTTGGATGGTCATTTAATATATTGCAGACAGTTCTTGGTCAATTTGCATTGCAAACAGTGATACAGTGATAAAGATACATTTGCAACATGCAGTGCATCCCTAAAATCCTATGGAAATTTAATGAAACAGTCTGAAAAATTTGAATGGTCTCATTTACTTTCTTTTTTCCTCTTTTGTTTATTTGTAGTACCTGCCCTGGTTAAGTGTTGTTAAGAACTTTCTGTGACACTGTTCTTGTCCAGCTATAAATACAATTAAACCTTTTATCAACTTACCCTGATCTCTGCCTACAGGTCATCACATTATTCCTGTTTGCTTATCTGAGCTAAACACGCACAAGGTGTCATGATGGGTATCAGGGAGGCCCAATATGCAGAACACTGACGACACGGATGGAAAGTTTAACAGAGTTTATTTGCAAGTTCACACATATAATAAAGACTGATGCAATGGTTCTGGGCTGGGACCGGTTCACTGGCGTCTGTGAGAGAGACAGTTTGGTTAGCGAAGGCTTGGCAGAGACTTGACTTGATTGTGTTCAGATTTGTGCCTTGATGAATGTAGATGAGGCTTTGGGAGCGGAACTGTTGGGTCCGGAGAAAGCTTGTTTTGGCAGAGTCCTTAAGCTGTTTCAGCGTCTTACTTCTAAAGGCTGGTTTGACCTTGGCTTGTGTTTCCAGCTCGGAAACCTGAGCTGCTAGGAAATCCAGAGAGTGAGTCTTCAGGTTTGGCTCGGAGGGCAGGCTCGGCAGGTTAAGCTCTTCCAGAGCTTCACAGGAGGAAAAAACAGGAAACCTGGAAGCAGAGACAAAAAGGTTAGAATCCAGGTTGGACTCAAAGGAAACTTGGTTCACTAGGGATCTACGGCTTAAGTGCTAACCAACTGATTAAGACACTGCGGCGTCGAGGCAAGGTCTGAAGGCAGCTTAAGTAGTCCAGGTCCTCCAGATGATATCATCAGCTGCAGGTGTGCAGAGCAGCTCAGCAGGGAGGATCCAGGGCGGACTCTGCTGGAGAAAAGGGGTATTTCTCCAGCTCCCAACACAAGGTAATAATATTTACACTATGTTGCTATACTGTCTGATAATTAATTTAGTTTATTTAGATGATTATGGCTTATAAGTCATTAAAAAAAGTTTAATTTCTCAGAAACTTTGGGAAACACGGGGGGAAAAAAGTTATTTCTTGTTTAGAAATGATTGGATGGATTCATCCCTGTTGTTTTTACAACTTTGCTATTTTCCAATCCCAACTTTTAATTAAAATGCTTGAATGCAGTGCTCTGTAAACAACTAGCTTCTTAGTATTGATCTCTCAGCCTCCCTGCTGCACAACCCAGTCAGCAGTCCATCCCATGATTGTGTGGTCTGTCAAAATAATGTTTTTGTTTTCAAAATATATTTTTATATTTCTTAATATTCAAATTACTTCGGAAAGAAACGTTTTGGATTTTTATTTGGGGGTTATAATAATCAAACTAAAAAAAAATAAACACTTAAAATGTGACTGACTTCAGGGTTTGCTGAAATAAACTGATTTATCATTATCAGTCGAACTGTATGAGATAAAATAGTATTGTCTGTAAATTATTTATCCTGCTGCAAGAGTTTCAAATTTTGAAATTCCATTTCATTAACACATTTTTCCATCATTTTCCATTCCCTTTAAGCTGGGCACTTCACCGCCCCCTACTTGACGGTGTTGCTAATGAATTTTTGCAATTATGCTTTGTTTGTTTAAACATATATTGCATATGCATATCTTAATATAGATGTCTAGCAATTTAAATCAGATTTTACATGCTAGTTTCGTTTGTAAAACGCTGAAAAGTTCAATATTATCTGTGTGATGCATTATTAATTATTTATCCCTCCCTGTCTCCTCCCTGTCTCCTTCTCCTAAAGCTGAAACCACGTGTTTAGAAACAGATAGGCATAGACTGGCTGTGAATGGAAAGATGAAATACAGATGCTTGTCCTCCTCTCCCTCCTCAGTAGCGTATTCTCCTACAGCTCCAGTCACAATGATGGAAAAAGAGAAGAGTGAAAGCAGCAGAGGGGAGGATGGTGGAGTGAGGCAGGGCGGGGTTGCTGAGTAACCAGTAGAAGAGGGAGGAAGCTGCTTTTACAGGACAGAGGAGCAGAGGGAATCGAGTGAGTGTCGGCTGTAGATGAGGGAGGGGGGGCTTCCAGACTGGATGGGCCCAGCAATGTCTTGATGGAGTATGGGCCAGGTTTTAGGATTCTCCCACTGTCGTAAGTTTGTTTTTTTGTGTGTTTTGTGGACTCTTACATTGTGGATATTGAATTACAGCAGTCCATTGCACAGATCTGCACTGCCCACCTCTGCATCATCGTATGTGTTAGCTCAACCTCTCCTCCTCTCTCCTGCTTTTCCCTTAGATTACCAGTAAATTTATAACTGCAGTTCCGATGCATACTTTTTTTTGCTATCATGCCTCTGCGGGTTTGCAGTGAGCCCTTTTATTTGTTAATCATTCATCCCTGAATGCTTCTGTTGTGCTTTGGATTTGTGTGCACTCTGTCAGAGCTACATCCCAGTGGTCCAACATTTGCCTGTGTTCATGCAACTGCTGAACAGAATATGCTGCATTTAGTGCAATGGCTGCCTGGTTGATTTATACACTGGTGTCATACTGGCAATCTAATATAAAACAAGCCTTTTACTTTTACTGCCAGAACCATTCAATATTCAATGACCTACAGTATGCACTTAGGACTGATGAACACACTGTGTTCCTGATTCTGATATTTTATATCAGCTTTAGTGTTTCTTAACCAAGGAGAGAATGATAGTTCTACTTCTTGGATTTTTATCTGTTTATGTTGCTCGTCTTTTCTTTGTTTGTTTTATATATATATATATATATATATATATATATATATATATATATATATATATATATATATATATATATATATATATATATATATATATATATATATATATATATATATACATACTTCTTTAAATAAATGTTTTCCTCCAGAGGAATATGGCTCTGTGGCATCCACTCCAGACTCAACACCTCCATGCACCGATGGTAAGCACTCTCCTTCCTTCCTTCCTTCCTTCCTTCCTTCCTTCCTTCCTTCCTTCCTTCCTTCCTTCCTTCCTTCCTTCCTTCCTTCCTTCCTTCCTTCCTTCCTTCCTTCCTTCCTTCCTTCCTTCCTTCCTTCCTTCCTTCCTTCCTTCCTGTCAGGAAAAAATGGCTTCATTTAATGAGCATCGACATCCTTATCCTTCCAAATGGATGATTGCCTGTCTTGATTTCTATCCAGGTGGCAACGAGGAGTCAGAGATGTGCGACCTGCAGACAGCCAGAGAATGGTCTGATGATGATGAAGTGGAGGAGGCAGGAGATCCAAATGATGATGATGATGAAGGACACGCTTCATCTCCATCCATCTGGGAAACCCCTCGCCAGCATTCCTTCGAGCTGACCTTCTCTTACATTGCCATCGCAGAGGCTGAAGCAGTTGGGAGCTCACGGCACCATCGTGAGCGGCGCAGGGCTGTCCCTCGGGTGGGTCGCACTCCTTTGATTCGAACTGACACATTGGAAATGCTGTTGGACTCCACTGATGTAGACTGGGAGACACAGGCTTTTTTCAATCAAGATGAAGACGAGGAAACATCAGGGAATGGAGCCTTGGACCCAGCAGAACCAAGGACAGCAAGCCCTGGTAGAAGAAGGGAAAGGGAACAAGGAGACTCTATTAGAGTGCAACCCTCCCCTGAAACTGTAGACTCTGAAAGCCAAAGGACAGACACAGGAGATGGGCAAGAGGACAGTGAAAGCCAGACTGGCCAAACTCCTTCTGAGATCCATTCATCTCAACAACACAATCCCTCACAGACAACTCTGGGTAAGAGATACAGTAGACAGATACAGTACACATATTTTTCTTACTTAAAGGCTTAAATCATTTAAAAAGTTTAGCTTTGAATCCTTGAAAGAAATAACTGGATATTATAGTAATTTTCTTTCGTTTTCATTGGAACTATAAGGGATAAAAAAAAAAAAAAAAAAAACAGGTTCTGCTTTCCAAATGTTGTATATTTTTCCCCCTGGCACTGGCCATTTGCAGCTCATCCCTGTTGTCTTCAGCAATTTTTATCAAAGCTTCATGTGCTCAGAGCTAATTATAAAGTCTGTCACATGATGACCTGCTTCTTTGAGGGGTCCTTTATTCCATGTGGCTCAGACAAGCAGAATATAACATCAAACACCATTGCTGAGTCAACCCAGAATCCAGAGACCTTCACAAGAAATTAATTGTCCTCATCCTAAACATAACCAAAACACTCACTGGACATTGAATTAGATGCATCATGAGTCTATGAGATTCGGCCCCTTTACCATTAAAAGCATTTCTCAGAGATGTTGATCATTTCTACCATCAAGATTAATGCTGCAAATCTCCACTCATCCCAAAGGTGTTCTGTTGGATAGAAAATTGGGTGACCGACCGTGCAATCTATTGGCGTTTGACGACCTTGTTAAGGTACCATGCAAAAAAATGTATATATTAAAGGTGTTTTTGTTCCATGATGGTGTGTTAACCTGCTCCAGGTAGCTATGAGAAGATTGTTAATCTGTGGTTATAAGCGTATGAATTTCTACAAAAACAATAATCTACCATGCTGTGGAATTTCAACAAGTCTCAACAACAAAAATACCAAAAATGTACCTCAGCATTACATTCGTACCAAACCAGTAAACTGTTAATGCAACAGTTGAATCAGTGCTTTACAGTTGTTCACTTCAAATTTAATGATCATTTTATATAATTATCCTAAAAGTTTTTCAAATTGTTATTGTCTAATTTGATGAGCATGTGTGAATTGTAACCTTAGTGTTGTCTTCTGCTGCTGTAGCTCATCTTTAACCTTTGATGTCTTACGATTTAAGTGAGTGTAGCGTGTTTTTAATGGGTGGTCAGTGCTGATTGTTTCTATCATCTTGAATCAATCTGTCTATTCTCATATGACCTCAATGGGGTATTGCTTACACAGAACCACTACTCACCGGATATTTTCCTTATTTAGCATCCCTTAGTAAAACCTAAATTGGTTTATTGCATTGAGATTACAATAGATCAGAGGTTGATCAAATACTGCCACCTTAAAGTGTCCTAAATCTCCTTTCTGTCTAATTTTGCTGCCTGCTTTTAACCTCAGCAATTCTTGAGGATGTCTCGAGGCGTTCAGCTGGTGTCATGTTGCACATGTTCTAAAACTCATTTGAAGAGTCTATGTAATGAGTTATCCTGTGAGCGTACATTATAGAGTATTAAATCCATCATCAGATTTTTCAGTTTCTTCTTGCTGTTATTGAAAAAAAGCTATTATAGTAAATGGTCCTGCAATATCTAAGTTTTATTTTATTTTACTTTATTTTATTTTTGAAATTATGTCTGTATTTTATTTTTTTATCACCATGGTAACATCATCCTCTGTTTCCCAGCTGCAGAGGATTCACCAACCTTGCAGCCTGAGTCTCCCGTCACCTTGGAAACCATTTCAGTCAAGCTGCTCACATCTGTGAGACCCACAGATCCAGCATGCTCATCTCTGGCATCTGTAGGCGTTAACTCTCAGGAACAGCTGGTCAGAGATCACTGGTTTTCAGCACAGTACCTAACAGAAGATCTGACTGTGAGCATCCGCGTAGCAGGTATAAGATTACATCTTTCAGTTTTATTGGCTTCTATTCATATCCTAGTCTAGTTTTCGTCTTCCTTTACGCACCTTCTCTGTTTTTGATTGCTTTTGCTGAGACCGACAACTCATAAACCAATGCTTAAATGAAAAATAATATTTCCTGCAGCATATAGGAGCAGGCAGGCAAATACAGACCAGCAGAAGTCCAGGCCATTCATTGTCTCCATAGTAACCAACTCTCTCTGGGTTTCAGGAATGATGGTCGAATTGTAGGGAAAACATTCCAGGCTTTGGCTGACTTTTTCAGACATGCAGACCACCAAAGCTGTTATCAGTGTTTGTTGTACGTCTCACAGAAGGTGGGACGAGTGTTTGTTTGGGTACTGTTTCTCTGGAGGAAGACTTGTTGGAGTAAGTTGGCTTTTTTTGAGTGAGTAATGCATGGGAGGGTATCATTAGAGATAAGATTCAGTCATTATGCTTGACGGGCTTTCAAGTGGACCAGTGCAGTAGTCAGACAGGAGCCATGTCTTATTTAGGTGCATGAGGTAGGGCTGAAGGGCCTACTTGATATTGTCTTATCTGGCCAATAATAGTATTTGGCTAGTCTTAGATATAGAGACCACGTGTAGATTATTCACTAGAGAAATGTCCTTTAAATGACATTGCTTACTTGCCATCAACATATCTTAATTTATGTTGGGCACAATGACCACCAGAAACTGATTGGTAGAAAATCGTTCTTTTTCAGCAGACAAGAGGGATTCTGTGGCCAATTATCTTGCTCAGGGACCAAGAGTGGCAGTCTGTCTGATTCAAACAGTAACACTTGCAGCAGTCTCGGGATGCAAGCACCCTGTTTTAACCAATACACCACCCCCCCCCCCCCACCACCCAATTATTTATTAATTACATTTACTCAGGTAAAAAGATAGAATCCAATGTTGTCTACCTGCTCAGATCCTCAACCAAACCTAACAGTGACTATTTACTGTTTCTTCACATGGTTATGCTCTGCTTTGTTACATGTACAGCTGCAGTGTTTGTTGTGAGCAAATTTTCAGTGTTTTTCTGTATGTGAAACCTAGTGTCATTTAAAGGAGTCATAACCTTATTTCTGGGGTTGTCTTTAAATTCATGTTTAATCAGTCTTTGGAAAAAAAAAAAAAGTAAATAGAAATCATTCAGAACCATTTTCATCGACATAGACATAGGCAGTTTGTCATCGTTCAGATACCATAATTTCCTGGTCTCTTACACAATTAGTAACAAGGTTCACAAGTTGATTAAAAGTTACATCACACCCTGACTTTATCAAGAAAAAAAAAGATAATTTTTTTTTTAAAAAAGGTTAACATTAATATTTTATGTTGAACGAGTTTGGGGGGGGTCTCCTTCCTGGTAAACTTTCAGTAAAGTTAAATCTTAGGCACTTTTCACATAACGACAAAATCAAGCATACTGTCAAAAGCAATGTTAACTACAAATCTATCTCTTTAAAATGTACAATGGTGGTTCTAAAACTAAGGTGGTTCTAAATTAGTTTTCATGATCACATCTATCTATCGATCCACCATCTATAAACATATATATAGATAGATAGATAGATAGATAGATAGATAGATAGATATTTATATACATATATCTATATATGGAGATATATATTTATATATAGATATGTAGATATATGTTAAGTTTATATAGTGACTTATATATCACTTATATAGTGATATAAAGTTTAATAGTGACTTTTTATGCATGCTCTAGCTGTGACAAGTGGTGGGTGGTGCTGTGAACAAGCAGATTATTTTAGGCTGTTCAGCCTTTACTGCTGAGTGAGCATTGGGTGGCCAAAAACAGCTCAGGGAGGTAAGGGGAGTAGTTTAGCAGGGGAGACAGAAAGGGGCAGAAGGGGTTCGGATAGAGCGGGGCACTGGAACAGCAACCAAACATGGCCAGTAAAGGTGAGGCGTTTTAAAGAGATGCAATTATTGTATGCCTGTGTAGTTAAAAAGGCAGTGGGGTAATTGTTTACTTAAATAAGGAGAAATGTTATGTGTTTATTTAAATTGATAGAAAACAACTTGACAGTTGATTGCCAAGAGGTGAAAAAGCTTTTAATCTTAACCCACACACTCGTCCTCAGCTTTGTCACTACAGTGTTGTGGAACAAAGCGTCACGCTGTTTAATGACAAATTTAGCTTTCTCATCGTCCTCAGATCAGAAACGTTTGCATATGTGTTTGACTTTAGAACGATGAGCTGCTCTGTGTAATTGGATGGTATCTGTATCAGTGGCTTTAATTCAATTAAGGGTCCGCCTTTAAATTAGTTCAATGGTGCTGTTAGGTTATTAGACAGCTGTCCCTTTGCAAGGCCCGTTTTCCCATTTTAGGCTGAACAGCTGGTATGTGGACTGACATTTCAGTGTGTATTCAAACATTTTCTGGGATTGTGGTATCATTACTTTTGGGTTTGAACAAATTAATCGGTACTTTTCTTATTTAATTAAAAGAAGCCTCCTTAAACCTTAAAAAGTCTTTCAAGCATGTTCATTTTAGTTTATACACTTTATATTTATTGATTGATGAATGTTACTAAAGAAAAAGATAAGCTTCCTGTTTCATTAGAAAAACCTGCATAACTGTTGGATGTATATAAATTAATTAATAAGAATAATTTACTGTAGTTTTTTAGATTTGTCTCGATCCTTTGTTTGGGTTGATCTCACCCTTTATATTTGTTGATAAAAATTAAAGACTTTATTATTGCTCAAAATCAATAGACTTACATCAATATTTGGGATTGCCTAATTTTCTTTATATGCCCTCTTTAGGCCAGCAGAAACCAAAACATAGTTATATTTATTAATTCATTTACAGCTAATTGGAATATGGGTTGTAAAGAGCCTTGTTTATCCAATGAAAAATACCTTATTTCTGTAATAAGTGCTCATTATGATACATTGATATCACAATTACTTGAAAACTGTCAATTTTATTTACACAGGTGAATTATTTGATTTATTTAATGGAAAACACATATCCGTCCAGCACCCTAATCAGGCCTAAGTAAACTCTCCGCCCTCTTAAACACCTTTTTTTGGGAGTAATAAAAAAAAAGATAACTAAGGATGATTGACCATCTGCATTACCAAAGTGAGTATTTAGTTCACTGATTGATGGTTTGACTGACTCCTACTGTTAGAGTGTAGAACTCCTGACTCCATCAGTAATTAACATGTATTTTTTAGAAATGAAGAACAAACCTTTTCTTTTAATCAGCACTGGTTTTGAATTTGAACCTGTCTTATTGATGTTCTTTTCTTCCTGCATCTTTCTTATTCCTGAATTCTGAACACTTATTTGGCCAGTTAGATCTACAGCACTTAGAATGTTGTTCTGGGTTCTTTTGTAACATCCAGAAGGAGTTACTGATGTGCATTTTTACTATTTCTGATCAGTAGTTAGTCCAAGGATAGTTCCATGTTGTCTACATTTATGGATAATGGCTTTCCCTGTGGTGTTCCGTTTTTTCCAAAACCTTAGAAAGAGCTTTGTTGGTCTTTCCAAATTGTTAATTGTCCATCATTTTCCTTTTCTCCATTTTTCAGTTTATCCCAATCTGGGTTTTACTGGCTGTTGTTTAAGTCATATCCCTGTTTTCAAGCAGGTGCGTTTTTTTTTTAGTGTTACTGGAACATTGATCAAAAGTAAATGTAGTTAATTAGAAGTAAATCATATCAAGAAGTTGTATATTGTATCCTATTGGATTATATTAATAACCACATAAGTTGCTATAACTTTGCAAAGGATGCATAGATGTACATTACAATGACACCAGGTGACCCTATTTAAGCACTGGGTGAGAACCAAAACAAAACTAAGGTAATAATTTTTGGATCAAAGGGAATGTGTTCAAAGATGAGCTAGTTCAGTTACAGTAACATAGCTTCAATTGATAGAGCTAGAAACCATCAATCAGGCTCTAAATCTGGGTGTGGTGATTGACTCAGACCTGAGTCAGCCATCCATCACCTAAAGAACATCTTTAGGATTAAAGGACTAATCTTTCAGCGATACTTTGAAACACAAATTGACGTGATTATCTTTAGTAGAATTAATCATTTAATATGTGTCTTCAGATATCTGCCTAAAAAGTCAAAAAGGCAGCTGTTGATGATCCATAATGCCGCTTCACGCTTCCCGATAAACCTAAGAAAGTGGAGCTCATCACCACAGTTCTGAAATCCTTACACTGGCTACCCGCATCTCAGAGAATAGACTTTAAAATACTTCTAGTCTATAAATCATTGAATGGCTTTTCTCCAAGATAAATTACAGACCTGCTTTGTCCCGCAGGTCTTTTGGCTCAAGACTATCTATACTTGAACTAGAACCAAACATGGAGAAGAGGCTTCTGGTTCTTATGCTCCACTGATCTGGACCAAACTCCCAGAAAACCTTTAAAGGGCTGAAATTCAATGTTGTATTAAATCGAGATAAAAAAAAAACAACTATTTATTTATTGTGGGCTTTAACTGTGGTTTCTAAACATCATTTGTTAAGTTTACAGTCCAACTTTTAATTTTCTTATCAGTCTTTTATCTTATTTGTTTTATATCTTATCTCTTAATTGTTTTTGTTCTCTTTAATTATTTTCTGTGATGAATGATTTAGTTTCCTATTATGTTTCTTTTTCTTATTTCTTCTACATGTAAACACTTTGAATAATCTTGCCAATGACAAGTCCTTTACAAATTTTAATTGTCTATTTCAACTGGATGTTGGTAAACCTTTTTTATATAAGCTTTTCATATTAAAGCAATTATTCCAACCACACAAAAAAAATGCTGAAAAGCCAAAAGCAATATACATGCAGCATCATAGAGAATGCAGTTAGTTGCAAAGAAGTCTGAAGTAAATAGTTGAGTAAAGATTGCAAAGTTGACAGGAAGGCTGGGGTCCCAGCTGTACAGGTTGTAACATACCCCCTCTGGTTCAGGTTCACCTCTGACCCCATGTGGGCCAGTCAACTGAAACATCATATAATCACATTGGCTAGCAGTGGAGTCTTAGTAGAGAATAGAAAATTGGTTTAGTCATTAAAACAGGTTCTTAAGAAGATCTAAAGTGGTGTATTGTCAGTATAAATTATTCTTGGACTTGTAGCTCCATTTTATGGCAGAAAAAGTTTGGTACAGAATAACCCAAGCTTCAAAATATTAAATGAATGAAGCTGTACAGTGACCAACAGCTAAAGAAATGTTATGGTTGGTCTAAAGGTTTGCTGCAGTATTCATATATTTAGTTACTGTACTTTTATGCTATTTTTATGTTGTCTTTATTTACAAAATGACCCACTTTTTAATGCTGTTTTACTTGCTACATTATCTGAAATTGCAGCTACATTAGTAAAAAGGTTTGCGTATTTCCCTCTCAGAAAGTTCTATTGAAGTTGTGAGAATGCAGTGTGTACTGTAAGCAACCCACAAACGGTTAAGGTAATTTATTTAAAGAGTTTTCCTGGCATTCTATTCAGAAAGCTTAGCTTTTTATATCATTATGCGAGAAATTCAAACAATGTCATTTGTATGAGGCCTCTATGAGGTATTGTACAGTAGATGGGTGGAAGTGCCTCAAGCAGTTAGAGAGATCCAAGCTTCAAATCCTTAAGAAGTCCCCAGTTTTGTTTAGGATTTTAACATTTTATATAAAGCCTAAAATAAACAGAAACATTAGAGGGGGGAGGGTAGATTTGGGATATTTTATATATAGCAAAGCTGTGTGTCCCTGTGAGCTGTAAGACAATAAGGGAAACCATCAGAGTGTAGATTAATGGCTGCAGACGGCCTGACGTCGGACAACAGGTGCTGGGAATTTTCATTCTCCTGAACCCCTGGCTTTTTTTTCCTGAGGGCTAAATTCAGCCTGTAGCTGTTGTGTCCCATCGGGCTTGAGATTAGAAATAAATTTTTTTTTCCTTACGTCTTTAACCCTTTTATTTTCTCAATAACATTACTCCGGGTTCAGTTTAATGGTGCCTACTTTAAAATAAAGAACCAAGCATCACATGATAGTACAAATTTTAAAGCTTCAGAGGTTTGGTCTTTTGTCTAGCCCCTGTATTTCAAAACTGTGCAAATTGTGAGATTTAAGCAGAAATGTTGGCTTGTATTTATTTTAAGAGCTGCACCTTTTTTATCTGTAAATACTCCTTTTTTAACTTTTTTTCATTTAATTGACTTTTTTATTCTTCATCTCTGTCAGTGATGGACCTAATCTACTGGAAGGACACAGAAAGAAGTGGCATGGTGCTCACAGCCTTGGTGGTGGGCTTACTTTCCTTGTTCCAGCTCAGCATCATCACTGTGGTCTCCACAGTCTCAGTGGCAGTCACGTGTTTCACCATCTCAGTTCGCATCTACTACCAGTTGCTCTATATCCTCAGCTGGGGGGACGGAGAAAATCCCTTCAAGTAAGATGATTTTGTTCTATTAAGGGATCAAAGCTTGTTTATTGTTTTTTTTTTTACAGGTGATTGTAACTTGAACTTCTGTTGGTTTTAGGCAATTTAAGTTTCTCTACGTTTACTTCAATATTCAAAATATCAATTAGAATCTTAGACTATTGTAATAAATAATTAGAAATCTGTAGTAAAAAAACTAACAATTAAAAATGTATTTTAATATTATATTTCATTTCCAGATGATTTTGTATGATTTGAAAATAAAATAAATTAAAGGAATAGTACACCCAAAACATGATTAGCCTTCATTTTCTACTCACCCCCATGCTGAACAACACTCTGGAGTACTTTTTTGATATCTCAAATGCATCTGGAGATCTGGGAGGCTTCTTGCTGTCTGCTGACATTCAAATAATGGAGGTCTATGGTGCCCGAGGCAGAAAGGTCTCGGCGCTACGGAAGCCGGCAGACCAAACCAGATGAAAGTGCGCATTCAGCGTCTGCTCTGCCGATAATGCAAGCGTAGAAGAAGAAATGTGCTGTTTACCTGTGCAAAGAAAGAAACAACGAAAGAAAAATGTCTGAAGACTTCAGTGTTGAGGAAGAGCATGAGTTCTTTGCCGAGCTGAATGCGCACTTTCATCTGGTTTGGTCTGCTGTGGTTTCCGTAGCGTCATGAATTCGCAAGCGCGCGCTTTCAGGAAATCCTATACACTACTGTTTATGCTCTAAAAACATTCTAAATGACTTCCTTTCGAGTAAATTCTGGATGCTACCCACTCAGGAAACTTGGAATACATTGGACGAGCAGTATGGAGGAATATTGACACGTTTTTTGTGGACTTTTATGGACCTTTCTGTCTCGGTCACCATAGACCTCCATTATTTGAATGTCAGCAGACAGCAAGAAGCCTCCCAGATCTCCAGATGCATTTGAGATATCAAAAAAGTACTCCAGAGTGTTGTTCAGCATGGGGGTGAGTAGAAAATGAAGGCTAATCATGTTTTGGGTGTACTATTCCTTTAAGCCTTGGTGCTTCAACCCTAATTTATCAACAGGAAACAAAACCCAGCAAGCTCCTCTCATACTGTATTTCACTTCAATAGTAAAAGTAGAAATAAACAGTTCAGCTTTAAATTGGTACAAACTACCCTTTGGAAAGCGTGCAGAGAATGGTCCTACCACGATAACCGAGATAACTGTTGAGTGTAAGTGGAACTTACACTGGACACAAACGAACCGTACTAGATCTAGTACTAGTTCAACAGTAGCTGGGTTCTCTGATAACAAAGAGTGCATGAACAGACCACGTCATCTCCTATTTACAGTCAGCTGACTCTCTCTTCACATATCTCTCTTCACCTGTTCACAACATGAACGTCTTTTCAGGCTATTGACAATAAATGGCATCAAAAGAGCGTAGTGCAACCAGGGCTGATGCTGAGATCAAGGCTCTCACTGAAATTTGGGTGGAGGACGCTATTAAGGCACATAAGTTCCTGAATGTTATGTGCTCCACCATTTCTGTTTGCATAATTCCTTGAGAGCTGTACTATCTTGGACCTACGACAGGAGGCAAGACACCGTGCTAGCATGATGTGTAAATCCAAGCTCGGTCCGACCTCGGCGCGGATCGGTTTCAGAGGGGTAGTGTAAATAGGGCAATATTATGTTGTAGAATTCACTAAAGGCAAATATTCTATAGAAATAAAAAGAAATTTCTATTATTTTAAAGAACCAAAAATAGTGAAGGAAAATTAAGTGTCCCTAAACAATAATGATCGCAGATCATGGCTTAAAATCCAGCAATAGAAGATGTATCCTGTTGTGGTCAGATTAGGATATTTTTGTGTTGCTGTTTAAACTGTACTGATATACATCAATTTTTCTTTCATGACTTCTCTCAGTGTGCACAGCAAGAAAGAATAACAGCTCTATGAGCTCGGAGCTTCATGTTAAAGCCTCTGCTGGCAAATACTCATCTGCAGCTTACTGAGTGGTTACAAATGGCAGCTATTTCACTCAGACGTGAAAAGGGATCTTGAAGTTCTTTTTTTAGATGGATTTAGGAGTTATCGTGGTTCCACTAGATGTTTCAGACAAAGGGTGGCTTTCAGAGACCTTAACTGTTCTGCTGTGAATGAGCTGGCTCTGGTGAATTTATTGAATTGAAAAAACAGTATCTTGTCCTCAGGAGACCTCATTACCAAAAGCACAAGTAATCCCAGCAGGGAAGCCCATGCTCTTTCACGTAACCAGTCAGTCAAAGGCATTGCATGGAGTTGCCCTGAAAGAGAAGTTGAAACTTCCATTGTCTCTAAATTCAACACCAATATGTGGCCTGATACAGTTTGGGCTCTTTATGCTTGCTTTTTTGATTCATAGTTATTTCGCACAGGACTGTGACCAATTAACAAACAATATACACCTCAAAATGTCACTTTTGACTGCTTAGGACTTTTCATTTTTTAAACTAGCTGCAGGAAAGCTTTAGGGTAACAATAGCAGGGATGTTTTTTCTACTTATTAATAAAGACAATTTATCATCCAAGTAAAAAGAAAAACAACAAGACACTCAATAATATATGCAGCCAAAGGAAGAAAGCAAAATATATTCTCTTTATTAATATATTTTTTGTTGCAATTTTAAAGTTAGAATTCAGATATTTGTTAAGGAGGAATATGTATACAATCTGCATAGATCAGTAATCCGTGCAGCGTATGATGCCTTATTTATACTTTGCTTAAATCCTATATTGAATCTAACATTTATACACACATGAATTCATGTGTCTCTATTAACACAGCTGATTCAGATGGCTAAATTAGCTTAGCCACAGTGAACATGTAATTAGCATGTATAAACCTTTTTTCTTAGAACTTGTTAAAGTAAAACATCTAAAAAATGTAGGATACATATATATAATTTGTTGATTTCATATTGTGTGGTCTCCATCAGGTCATACTTGGATATGGACATCAGTTTCAGTGGAGAACAGGCTGACTTCTACATGCAAAAAGCCATTTTTCTGGCTCTGTCTGCTGTTGATTCCCTAAGGAGGCTGTTTTTTGTAGAAAATCTTTTTGAATCCCTCAAGGTAAGTTAAGCATGCAAATTAAATTAGTGATTCTATTTAAGTGGGTTAAATAGATTTTCTTTGTTCTGTCTGTTTATGGGTTCCTTTGTGTTCTTGGCCATGTAGTATTTAACCCAGGGAACTATTTTAATGAACCGCTCTGAAATACTGCAGTTGTTTTGCTTTGGTCAGAACCTCTTACCCACATTAACCCAAGCAACTACGTGGCTCTGGGTCATTTTGCTCTTATGTTCTATTATTCCAGCTTGCTGTTCAACCGCATTGTTATGCCACCGCAAACAACAAAGATGACAGCTGTCAGGTTGAATGATATAATCATTTTAGAAAGTGATCTGACCCTTTTAAATTTAACAAAATGGTCTGCTACCAAAGCTTATTCATTGTGTCTGTGCCAGCATCATATGTTCATTACTGATGTATTACTGATGTATTACTGATCTGACTGCAGTTAAACTCCTATACTTTACAGCTACTGTAAGATGCTAAGCTTTGACATCTGATGACTTTGGGTTCATTTTTGTGTGTGTTTTCTATGGATTCATAACCACACATTATTATTTGCATATCTCAAGCTACTGCTTTAATTTTTCTGGGTTAAGTATAGCAGAATTAACTGGCCTTAGCTGTTGTTTATGGCCAAAAATTGCACAAAAAAGGTATGTCACTTTAAAAGACAGCTAAAAGCATGAGGCATGTTTTTATTTTGGGTTCTAAAACTAATCCTAAAGCCTGTCAGTGACTCATTTCTCTCAGTAATGCACACATAACACAGGAGCCTCTTAGTAGTAGTGTACTGTTCACCTCAAAGGGAGTTTTTGATGTAAAGATATTCACATTTGTCAGTCGTGGGTGACAGATTTAGGAGAAATATTATCTAAGGGTGCAGACAATAGAAACCACACTAACCATTTTTTTTGTGTGCAAATCATTTCAGAAAAAACTAAACTTATATATTAAATAGATTCATTACACACAGTATTTCATAGCCTTTTGTATTATTTTAAACAGACGATAACCCAAAAATTCAGTTATTCAGCAATTACAGTATCACTTTTTTACAGCTACAATTAAATAACATTTGTTTATTTTTTTATTATTTCAGTTTTCTTGTGCTTTAGTTATATCTTTTAGAAAGAGCAAAATAATATATTTTTTGTATACTTTACAACAGTAATTAAATGTTAATGTTGCTTAAGTATGAAAAAAGGACACCCTCTACATTAACTTTTACTGTGCTAGTAGATAAACATCCTTGCTTTTACAGTATGTTCATTTTACCCCATCATCATCATACTCTATTACGACATTATTTAAATCTAACTTTTCACAGTGCCGATACATTTATAGAAAATAAGAAATCATGGGGAGAGCTGGAGCCCCTTCCTGGTCCACTATGACCCTGCTGGTATGCTAAATGACATACTTGAGTCAGCACACAGAGACCCAAGGATAAGATGAAGTCTTTTTCCATGTTAGACAGGCGTTTCCAGTGACATACTAACATGATCCTGTAACTCAGACTGAGAGCCTGACAGATATTAGATACCGTAAACACGCATTTATGGAATCTAAATCAAGCTACACTGTAGGAAGATGGATAACTTCTGAAACCTCTGTATTTTTTAGCCCATCTAAGAGATTTTATAGACCTATTTGCACATATATGATTAAAATCCAACACATTTCCCACAGTTGTTGTGTTTTAATTATTTATTTGTTGATTTGTGTTTCTCTAGTTGCTGTTTCTGATGTACCTCGTCACATACCTGGGAGCCCTTTGCAATGGCCTTACTATTCTCATCATAAGTAAGCAACTGATGTTTTCACTGGAGAGAGAACAAATAATCATGTGGAAAAAAATTGTTGGTACCCCCTTGTTTAACGACAGAAAAATCCACAGTGATCAGAGAAATAACTTGAATTTGACAATAGTAATGAGAAATTCTTTGAAAATGCACACATTTCCTTTCAATCATGCTTCAACAGCCTGATTAAAAAAATTTAACTCATGAAACAGCCCTGGACAGAAATGATAGTGTCTTTATCTTTTTTTTTTTTTTTGTTGTTGCACAGCTTATTGAGGCATTCACTGCAAACAAATGTTTCCTGTAACTGTTGATGACCTGTATTTAAAACATTATTCCATAAGCTTTTTGGTTCGTCATGTAGTTTGACAAATTCCAGGTAGTCTTCTTGCCTTTTCCTTTGACATGCTTATCTATCATTTTCTTTCTTATCTTCTGAGACAACTCTTTATTTTGCTTCCTCTGGTTCATGTGGAGTGTGGTATACACCATGACACCAAACATCAGTCACCACCTTTAGCTCTATATATAGGCCTAAGGTACTAATGATTACAAGATTGCACCTGTGATGCTAAAAAGTGGACACACCTTGATTTTACATGTCCCTTTCACTCTTTTCTATATATATTTACAATACTATATTTTAGTTATTATTACTTTTGTTGGATTTAAGTTATTTCTGTGAGCCTTCTGGGTTTTTCTTTCTATAAACGAGAGGTACGAATAATTTTGTCCATTTGAGTATTAACAAACACTTTGGTTCACACATCAACTGTTTCTTCTCCTCCCCTCAGGTGTGATTGCTCTCTTTTCTTTGCCACTTTTCTATGAAAGACGACAGGTAATAACTTTTCATTTAGCAACTTAATCGACATGTTGTACACACCAAATTCTGAAGTTTTGCACCAACTGTGGTATTTTAGGAGCAAGTGGACGGCTTTATTGGAAAAATTCAGGCCAAAATTGACAACGTCAAGGACTTGTGAGTATTGCGCCATCTTTTGGAACTGCAACGCTACTAGTGCAGCCCCATAACTGTTCTAGAATATAAACCTATTCTTTAAAAAGGAAGGGAGCATTACCCAGTAAAATGCATGAAGTGCAGTGTTTTTGTTTAATTTTATGGAATATTCACACAAATAAAACCTCTAAAGGAAACTGGATACAGTGTCCATACTTAGCCTTCCTACTTTAAAGCGTTTCTATTTCTTAACTTATGAATGACTACGCATAGAAGTTTTACATTTTAAGAATACATATCTGTACATGTCAAGATTCCGTCTGTTTTAACTTTTGTGTCAGACTTAATTTGTTTTAGATCATCAAACACATTTTAATACTAACGATAACTCAGTAAATTGTAATTTTTGAAACTTAGCTGAAAAAAGAAACAAGCTATCTTCACCACATAACTCTGTGTAAAAAGGTAATTTTTCCAGACTATGTTTGCTGCCATTGGTGTCATGAAACATTTTGCAATAGCATGCAGCCATGAGGAACTGTTGGTCCATCTCTATTTGCAGAATTGCTTTAATTCAGCCCCATGTGAGTTTTCTGGAGCATCATTGGCCTGTTGAAGTTCACTGTCTGTGCAATAGAGTTTAGATACTAACAAGTGTTAATTTAATTATTGAGAAATAACTTTTTTCTTGTTGGGTTTAGCTTTTTGATACCCTCATTTAAAAGTTGAGCAGTGCATTTTTGCTATTTTTGTAAGCATTGATTGTATTTCAAGCCTTATAGAAGCACTAACCTCACCTCTATCTCTCTCCAACAGTCTGCGAAGACTTGCCCAAGGTGGAGGCCCGCCTCCTGATACAACTCCTGGTGGTGCCAAACCTAAAACCCAGTAGAAATTTTATGGACAATACTTTTAAGGAGAAGCTGCCAGAGCTGCAGACTTCACTCAATGTCTTACTCAGCAGTGTGTCCCTCCACTAAACATCTCTGCAGAAGCTGGGATCATGAAGGAAAGAGCAATGATGTACTGTATACTCAAACTGTGTCTCATTTCTAGGGGTTAGAGGATGAAGCTCAGGTTTTCTAAGGGTGAAATCACAGTTACTGAGTCACCCTGCTGTCAGAGGGGAACATCATCCAAGGAAATATAATTTTAGTGTGTTTTAAAAGAGATTCAATGATTATCTTAAATAAGGTTGTAGTATGAATAAGTGTTGAAGAATATGAGTTGGAATTTCTCACCAGAAAACACTCCTGAAACTGAGGACTTTGGTTATTTGTTCAGGTGATTTAACGGTATATGAGAGGACAAAAACAGGGATCCTCATGGCAGCATAAAAAAGATCACATCTACATCTCTAATACATTCTCACAACTATTTATCTGCATGAACCCAGTTTGTTGTTTTGAATGTGTGCATCTGTTCTGACAAACTTACTGAAACAAACTTGCTCTGGTCGCAAACAATTAAAGCCAAATTTCCTCTTTATTTTCTAAGATGATTTTTTTTTACTTCAAACCCAGATTTCATTTACTCTTCAGTTTGTTTTTTGTCTTGTTTTTTTTATTCGTTCTGCGCCCCAGCTGATGCTTTCCCCCCTTGTCAGGTGCACCAGAAGTGGAAGAAAAATTATGAACTTTTGACAGGATGTTAGTTCTTGGGTGTTCTTTTCTCGAAAGGCTTATGATTTTAAACAGATCCTCCCAGTGCCATTGCTGGAAAATTGAGAGAGTGAGATACAGCAGGTGCCTTTTTTTCTGACTGCAGGTTTTTGTGCATGAAATCATTCACAGTACTTAAAGCAAGCCTTCATCCTCTTTATCTGACCCTCACCTCCAAAGCAGAGAGATTTATGGGATTACTGTATAATATATACATGTGCACAATGGATCTTACCAGAATTGTAACAAATTCAGTTTCAGCAATTTTAGAAGCATTCAGGATGCTCTGCTATTTAAACCCTTATCTTATTTCTGCTAATGCTTCAAACAAATAATGTCATTCGTATGCCTTACTGTCGTTCAGCTCTTGCATTCTTAAAAAAATAAAACATATAGACATTATAACTGATATAAACCAAAATATTGAAGCCTTCAGGTCTGATTCCTACAAGGTCCTCTTTGTGCTTTTAGCTCCGGGTATCTATCCAAAATAATTTCTTTCAATTATAAATTTCTTTTAAAAAAACAGGCGTTTGAGAAGTTATTTACGGTTTCAAATTGTTACAACTGAGAAGCTGCTGATTCAGTCAGACCAATTATATTTAAAAAAAAACCTCAGTGGCTGTAGAAAACCATACTCTGGGTATTTCAAAGTGCAGTTTAACTCTGTCTCAAAGCAAAAGTGGAATGCTACATAAAATGTAAATAATAAATGTAGATTATCACTGATAAGCAATTTTCTAGCGGAAGCATCTAGAAGTGTAGTGCCTTGCTAAGTTATTAATAGGCTCTGAATATTTTCACATTTTATCATACTAATACCACAGACTTTCATGAGTTTTGTTAGGACTTTATGTGATAGACCAAAGTAAAACAATCTGTTTGAACTTTTTGGGGATGGCGCTAGAAGGTGACCCCCTGCTCCAATGCCACGTTTTGCAGTCTAAGAGGTTTTCAAATGGTATTGTCCTATTTTTAGCTCCATTCATTTTACCATCAACACTCAACAGCTTCCATCTCCCCAATGCATCCACACAGCATAATGCTTCCGCTTTTATGTTTCATCATACGGATCATGTATCCAGGGTGATGTGTTCCCTTGTGGGGGACTTTAAAAGAAGATTTATATAATACTGTTTTCTCAGTCTTCATAATGTTCTTTCCTTATTTCCACTCCACTACCTATGCTCTACTTTGTGTTGATCTATTTCATGAAATCCAAATGAAATGTACTAAAAAATGTGGCCGTAACATGATGAAATGTAGCCTCTGCCATGTAGATCAACCAATAAGCTAGCATTTGAAAGGTTAGCATTAAAGATAACGGGAAATTGAAGGGGTTGTTTAGAAATTTTCTCTGATTTCAAACTCTTACTCAAAGGCAGCATTTTGTATCAACTCTAGTATTTTTCTCTGGACATTTTAGAGTTAACTTGATCTCATAAAATGTATACAAGCTGAGTTTCCTGACAATGGTTTCCAAAAAGATTCCAGCAAACTAACGCTAATCAACATGTTTCTGGTATCAGATACATATAAAAAAGAATTTTCCTGTTTCAATTAGTTGAACTCCGCAAGACTAATCAAAACATTAGAATTATGTCTTTATTTTGTGTTCTGTTGTTTACATTTTACCCAGCATCCCAACCCCTCTGGATACAGGGTTGTAAGTCCAAACCTGAATCAACATTTAGTTCTTTTAAAACTAATGATGATACATATGCATTGTAGTTGGACACCAATTATTTTGTATTCTGGGAAACCAGACTTTTATCCTTTGAAGAATAAACTAATAAAACACTCCTTTTGTCTGACTTTTTCAGATATCCTATAAGCGACTTTCAAAAGTTATGTGCAGCACATACTTGAACAAATCTGTACTCTGTTAGTCAAAATATAACAACATACCAATACAGCATCGGTTTAAAGCAGATTATATTTGCCGCTGTTTCTTTGTTCTTGGACCTCCCTGCTTTTTTACATGCATTTATAAAATTCTTGAGGATAAAGGATCAGCAGCAAAGACCACCCAGAACAGAATGACATAACTAATGAATGTAACACCAAAGACAGGCAGAGGTTTACAAGGTGGGGCAATATAAGCTGCTGAGTTTTTTGTTTTCTTTTTTATAGAAGAAGGTAGCTAGAAGTTTGGATAGAAACTGCTGCATGATTTAAGTTCTGCTGGTAGAATAGTAAGTTGTGGTCCTCAGAAGCTTATACATGCGGCCAGCATGAACTACGCCACTTTATATCCAACAAAAGAGTAAAAAAATGTTTTATGCATTTCAAATACTGCTGAAATAAATCTAGATTTTTGAAGAAATGTACAATGATAAGATTGAATAACACACTTTTTAAGATTGAATAAAACACCTCTGTATATTCCTATTTGTATATCTTAGAAGAATATTATTGATACTTATACACTGACCGGCCACTTTATTAGGTACCCCATGCTAGTAACGGGTTGGACCCTTTTGCCTTCAGAACTGCCTCAATTCTTCGTGGCATAGATTCGACAAGGTGCTGGAAGCATTCCTCAGGGAGTTTGGTCCATATTGACATGATGGCATCACACAGTTGCCGCAGATTTGTCGGCTGCACATCCATGATGCGAATCTCCCGTTCCACCACATCCCAAAGATGCTCTATTGGATTGAGATCTGGTGACTGTGGAGGCCATTTGAGTACAGTGAACTCATTGTCATGTTCACGAAACCAGTCTGAGATGATTCCAGCTTTATGACATGGCGCATTATCCTGCTGAAGTAGCCATCAGAAGTTGGGTACATTGTGGTCATAAAGGGATGGACATGGTCAGCAACAATACTCAGGTAGGCTGTGGCGTTGCAACGATGCTCAATTGGTACCAAGGGGCCCAAAGAGTGCCAAGAAAATATTCCCCACACCATGACACCACCACCACCAGCCTGAACCGTTGATATAAGGCAGGATGGATCCATGCTTTCATGTTGTAGACGCCAAATTCTGACCCTACCATCCGAATGTCGCAGCAGAAATCGAGACTCATCAGACCAGGCAACGTTTTTCCAATCTTCTATTGTCCAATTTCGATGAGCTTGTGCAAATTGTAGCCTCAGTTTCCTGTTCTAAACTGAAAGGAGTGGCACCCGGTGTGGTCTTCTGCTGCTGTAGCCCATCTGCCTCAAAGTTCGACGTACTGTGGATTCAGAGATGCTCTTCTGCCCACCTTGGTTGTAACGGGTGGTTATTTGAGTCACTGTTGCCCTTCTATCAGCTCGAACCAGTCTGGCCATTCTCCTCTGACCTCTGGCATCAACAAGGCATTTCCGCCCACAGAACTGCCGCTCACTGGATGTTTTTTCTTTTACAGACCATTCTCTGTAAACCCTAGAGATGGTTGTGCAAGAAAATCCCAGTAGATCAGCAGTTTCTGAAATACTCAGACCAGCCCTTCTGGAACCAACAATTATGCCACGTTCAAAGTCACTCAAATCACCTTTCTTCCCCATACTGATGCTCGGTTTGAACTGCAGGAGATTGTCTTGACCATGTCTACATGCCTGAATGCATTGTGTTGCTGCCATGTGATTGGCTGCTTAGAAATTAAGTGTTAACGAGCAGTTGGACAGGTGTACCTAATAACGTGGCCGGTGAGTGTATTTCAATATACAACCATCATCCAAATACTGCTACCTTTGCATCCTCCTCATTATATGTGGAGCAAAAAATAAATGTATAACCAACCTGGTTTGTTCTGATTTAATCTGTTCAAAACCTTTCAAAAATGTTTCTGTCTTTATTTTTATATTTTGGCAAATTATTATTGTTTTGTTGCTTGTTTAAAAGTTCCAGGAAGGTCACAGGTAGAAAGGTATGTATTCTTGGTTATCTTGAAGAGAGGTTATTAGAATCCCACCTTTCTACCCCGAGTTTCTGCAAAAAAGCATAAATCACAAAGCTAAATTAAAAACCTGCTTCAATTGCATCTGTTTTATAGAAAATGTAAATTATAGGGTTATCAATGCCTTTTTATAACAAGTGATTAAGGTATGTTCACCCAGCAACATGGATGAATAAGGGGATGCAATGTTGGATTTGGTGTCCCCCACAATGAAATCTGAATAGGGATGGGATGAACTCCTGATTTAATCTGTTTAACTACAAGTTTTGTTGCAAATATTGTGACACACTTACAGAAGTTTTATTAACTTTTTTTAAAGCTGAACAGAAGCTTAGGTTTGTACCCAATAAGCTGATGGTGGAAATTAATTTGGGGCTTTTAACTAAAGGACTTTATTCTATTAAAATAAATGCAAATGCATACATACATTTTACTGTAAATGTTAAAAGGAATCAATGAACAGAAAACTATTCATTGAATACAAAACATTACATTAGAATATTTTACAATCAGCAGGTTTATTAGAGGTGCACAATATAAAAAGTGAAGCTACCAACACTAACATCACATACATTTTTGTGAAAATTTCAGTCCATTTGTAATTTCTTCGAAGACAAAGCTCTCAGCCAGTAGGTGGCACTATATATAGAATATTCACACCCCTATGAAAAATGTGGAAGTGTTAAAACACAATCGATTTCGTCTAGATACAAGACCTGAGGCATAACAAATGATGTAAACAAAATCAACTTTATTGCTTTTAGATATGAGATATTTTTATTGCTGTTGAATTGAATTTATGTAGGCTATTTATTATTTTTTAATTGGTTTGTATTCACTTTGCTTTTCTTTAAATGTGTCCATCTTGTGGAAAGGTTGTTAGGATAAATGCAGACTATTCCAAATTTAAAAAACTTGAGATTCTGCAGTTGTGTTTTAATTTCGTTATGCACTCATGGCCACCAGGGGGCACCAAATATCCAAACATTTTGCTTCTAAACTCAATTTTCTTGCTTTTCTTTTCCCTGATAAGGAAGGAGGAGAAACTTGATCACCTGAGCTTCATGACAGTTTTTGAAAACACCCAATCAGAGGGGGAAACCCCTTTAGATCAGTTAGTGGATAGGCTGTTTCTCTTATACAAGCTTTGCTAGTTTAAAATAGGTCAGGGGGTCCGAGTCAGTATAAGGTTTCAGTTTATATGACATGTTGAAAATTAACATGCAGGTGGTCTTTGTAGCATGTCAATGAGGACAAGTCTAGACTTGCCTGTTCTAAATCAAATGCACTGACCTCACACTATCTGTGTCATTAGGTTGTAATTTAACTTCTGCAGATAATAGAGCTAAAACCTCATGGAAACATTTTATGATAAAAATAATATTTAATTTGCTGTTCAGTTATTGATATCTCAAACTTTTTAGATATTATAGTTTTAAACATTTGAAAAGAGTCACGGATTTAAAAAGTAAAAAAAGTAAAAATTAAGTACATAGTTTATTGTTTGAAGTGAAGGTTATGCCCAAAGTTATATATACCCATGACAGATTTAAGCGTATTAAAGTATCTTTCAATATTGCATATTTGTTATATATGTTTTGGAGCTGGATTGGTGATGGCAAGAAGGACCTCCAGTCAGGCGTAGCCAGAACATTTTTATAAGGGTGGCCAGGCAATCACCAATGTACACTGAGGGGTGGCCCGAAAGTAGATAGACACCAGAACCTCAGGGTCAATCTACAACAGGAAAATTAATGGGCACAACATCCATATTTCCTAAATAAAGACAAACTATTCTTTCCTCCAACCTTTGCTTACAAATATACGCATACGTATTTAAACATCTGTGTTTTCTAGATAAAAGGTATAGTGGATACAATTCTTTAAGGTTCAGTTCTGGGGCAAACATCTCTTCCATTGCCATTACTTACCTACTTTTATCAATAATCATTCTGCATAAAATTGATATTTACAAGTACTAATATCTACATAAATTGATTATTTTATATGTTTTATTAAAATAGTTATTTATCAATAATTCTACTGAAGACTCTTAGACGACCTGCAGAGACACAATTTTCTCTTTACCCCATAGAACACAAAATCTACTTCTAAAAAGAGCATGAATTCTGTACTTATCATATTTATTGTTAGTAGATTGATGTGCATAATTAACCATATTGTTTTGTTGTCAAGTAATTGTTTATATATGAAAAATTTAAATGTTTTGAATATTCCACTTGAGAGTATTACTGCTGCCACCATCTGTATTAGAGGGAAAAAATAGTAGGGGTGGACAATGATTGGCTAAGGGTGGCCATGGCTCCCCATCTAGCTCCGCCCCTGCCTCCAGTCTGAATGACTTCATGTTTATTGCCACAGCTTTATATCCTAAATTACCACATGCATTAATAATTTTGTAATATCTAATCTCTAAAGGAAATAAAAATGTACTTTAGATTGTTTTATTATGATGAAATAATTATATTATAGGACAAATTATTATGGACTTAAATGTGTAGCAATATGGCAAACCTCCTCTCATCTTATTATTAATCTCTCTTTATAAATAACACATTACCACAGTGAATTCAGTCTGTTTCTGAGTGGCTCATATATAAACTCTGACACATGTTGAGCATATTGTGCAAAAATAACTATGCCTATGTGGTTCATTCTTGGCAAAGGCTGCATGTGGGCTCCTGAAGGACCTTAGGGCCCCTCAGGTTTGAGCCGGCTCTGGAGGGCGGGGTTAGTCAAATTACTGGCTATATAAACCTCATTCTCCGCCTCGCTGCGTGAAGCTGCAGAGTGTGAATGTGTTGCGTGGATGGTTCAGCGTCCTTGTGTCTCAGTGGATCTGATCCCGTCGGGAACCTGGAGAGCTTCGATTCCCTGCCTTCCCATCAGAAGCGCCTCTTCGCTCTGTCGCAGTGACAGGAACCAGTTCCCATGCCGGCCGCGCTCCTCGGACTGTGGATGAGATCGCGGTGAATTGCCGGGGCATTGGATGTCACCTGCAGACTCCATGGATTACGGGCGGACTATGGCCCCTCCGGTGCCGCCGCACAAACCCAAAGCCGCGGGGCCGGGGCAGGGCCAGGAGCGGCTCCTCAAGTGCGTCCTTCTGGGAGACGGAGCGGTGGGGAAGACCAGTCTAGTGGTCAGCTACACAACCAATGGATACCCAACCAAATATGTCCCCACTGCATTTGATAACTTTTCAGGTAATAGTTTATCCTTGCTTGAATTATATACTTGTTCCTTTTTAGTTTTCCACTAAAGTGATTCATAAGATCAACTAAATAGGAAATATTTTATTTAAATTTAAGAGCAAATTAAGCTTGGTTATATTAATACAACTGGACGCTTTTCGAGATTTCCTGTATTTGTGCAGCAGTTGTATCCAACCCCACCCAGAACCTCCTGTTTCCACCTATTCTTCCTACCCTTCCTGTTATCTGTCCTAAATCCGAGGTAAAATGCATATGAGATATCTTCCCTGCTATGGCCATGTTTCCATTTGGCAGCTTGCCATTTTCCAGACTGACTGAGCTAGCCCCTGCAGGCTTTATTTGTGCCTGGAAACGTCTATCTTCAGTCTGAAATCAGTGCAGGAATAGAAACAGACTATCTTTGATTCTCACCATCACATCAATAATGTGTGTGGGTTTGTAAAACAACACAGTACATCAAAGTGAATGCACCATCTCTACAGTGAAACATGGTGGTGACAGCATCATGCTGGGGGTTTACTTTTCTTATGCTGTGACCAGGAATATGTGTAGAGTTGAAGGACAAAGCAGGGTCCCTAGAACCTAAGTACACAGCCTAGTCAAAGTTAACACTTGAACCTACTTGTACGTTAAAATTCCCAGAAGCGCTTGATTCTGCCCGACTGCACTTAAGCTATTTGTAAAGAGGAGTAGGTGAAATTTAGAGGCTAGATGTGTGAACATATAGTTCTACAAAGGATTAACAGATTGACTGTTGACAGATTAATCAATTAGCTTCATTTTCTTTAGTTGCATCCCTAGTTACACAAAAAAAGAAAATCTGTAATATCTGTGAAAGGCTCTGTACCTGTCACCGCTGGGTGGAATCAGTAATGCACCTGCAAAATAGCTTTTCTGTTTCGTTTTGTTTTTCCTCCCCTTAAAGCTACAGTGTGTAATTTTCAGCGACATCTAGCGGTCAGACTACAGACCGCAGCAACATGAACATCTCCCCCCCACCGCTTCTCCCTCCCAACAGTACGGCGAGCGTTACGGGACAAAATTTCTTCTACGACGTCCACATCACCTACCCTCTCAAGTGATGAGGTTTGTTTACATAGATAATTTTACAGATAGTATTTCATTAGTCTGTGTAGGGTATAGATTTCATGTAGACTTAAGATAATAAATATACCCGTTATTTTTTCTACATCGTTGTGACGTCTTGGTGAGCTGCTTTGCATGGTGATATAAACAGACGAAGTAATTGTAGTCATTAGTTTAACAGCGAGATTGTGTTCGCTGGAAGAATATATATCCCCCGTTTACAGAGTCCAAGTCATTTTGGTGGCACGGGGGTTACAACGCGAGGGAGAGGGAGAGGACGAGGGCGAAGGCAGGGAGGCCGTGCAGCTAGGGCCAGGCGAGAGAGGGGAGCCAGCGGGGTGAGAGCAGAGGAGGAAAGGCTTGAAGATCTCCAAAGGAGCCGGAGAGAAGTAACCGAGGTATATATCCAGAAAATTATTTTACAGAAAATTACTGAATCATTACCTGTGAAACGTCAGGGACGTTGCTGAATAAGTATACTGGAGAGTAACAGCATCATCACGCAGCATGTTATTGTTTTAGACAGGTCTGAGCATCCTGTACTCCAAAAACTGCAGTGATATTAGACAATTGTGTGTGTAGGATTAATTACCTGTCCAAGAGAAAACTGGCAACTTGAGCGTCACTTTGAAAACCTTTTTCCTCCATCAGTGACTTCCATCGTGTAAATGCCGTGCCAATGTTGATCCGTGTTTTTTGCCGTTTCTTGTCACGCTTGCGTTTATTCTCGTCGTGTTTCCGCTTCTTAGATGACGGGGGTTCGGTGTCCGCCGCTTTTCGTTGTGATACAGAGTAGGCATGATCCTCCATTCGTCTGATGTTTGGCCACACAGTGCCAAACAGTTTGCAAAGTCACTCACGCCTGCCGCCTTGTTCACCTTTCTTGTTACTGAGGCGCAGTATACCTGCTTCTTCTTCTTCTTTGGTTTCAGGCAGACTAAACGCTTCTCAGGCATAATACTGCCATCTACTGTTCAGTACCGTCTCAGTTAATCTCTCTCAACTTGCCGTAGTTATTTTTGAGCGTCATGGGAGATCTCGCAATCGCTAGTTTGTTGCCTCTGCGCTTGCCGTAGCGCAAAGATGTCAGCCTCCATGGCTGCGAGACCCGCTCCTATGTAATTATAAATAACGAATTCTAAGGCAACGCAAATATTATGGTTAAAAGGCTGAGCTCATAGGTGATGATAAATAACATAGTTATGTATAATATATTAAATTTCTGACTTTATATGCCTGTAATTATTACACACTGTAGCTTTAAGCCTAGTTATTTCACAGAGTGAGGGGATAAATTAACAACTTGGCTCAGACCAAGCCCATAAAAACACTCAGTGAGAACACACACACCACCCTTAGACAAGTGCTGGCTCAATCCAGCCTCAGAACAGAAAGCATCTCTGGTTCAGGGGTTTTAAGTTGCACAACTCTGCCTATTGTTGTCAGCCTTGACCCGTGAGCCCTCTTCTCTACACTGGAATGGGCACATCTGTTGCAACGGCTCTGAGGCAGAGATTGTCTTTCGCCTCAAACTGACAGAGACCAATTGTGCTGTTGGGGGCCCTTGGCAGTGATGTCACTTTCTCAGTGCCCGGGAATCATTGTGCTGCCTTGAAAACCGACTTTCCGAACACTTATGCAACTCCAGGTGGGAGACGGCAGCAAATGAGGAGGACGAGAAGGAGTTTCGCTCCAGAAAATCAAGAATATCATATGTTGGGTATTAGGAAATGATTAGCCAGTGGGAACGGCTCCCGCGTTTTCCTCTTTTATGTCCTCCAACTGTTTCTCCTGATGTTTTTTTTTTTTGAAAGCTGAAATGTTTGAGCAAACTTTTGATCAAGTGGCATGACCGACCACACATACAGCAGGAGCAGTGGAAACGTTTCCATGTGCCTGCGTCTTTACTTTGTGTTCACTCTGGTGCAAAGAACAAATGGTCCTGTAATGAAACTGGATGTGGGATGACTCATCCACTTCTTTTCTTCAATCTGAAACAGAGGCTCATTGAACGTAAGTTAGTGGGTAAACAAAATCTGATTTTGTTTTGATGGAGGCGTGACAGTAGGGGTTGACAGATCTTGCAAAATATACCGTTCAGTGTTAAAATAAGAAAATATCGTACCCAGTGCATACGTAATGTTGCATTTAAGACTTTAATTCAATACATTTAAATGTAAATTATGTCTGTTTCTGTCTACAGCTGTGGTTCAGGTGGATGGGAGCCCAGTGAGACTACAACTATGTGACACAGCAGGGCAGGTGAGAGCTGGTTGCTCACATATCACATTACGCTTTGACACTCAGCTTGGAGTAAGCCCACAAGGCTTTCAGTGCTAAAATTGAATATAACATATTATATTAACATTACATTAACGTGTTTAGCTTTGTGGTTAACCATATAAATCCATATTTGAAACTTTAGATTATCATTAATATCTGAAAGGTTACTATTTTTCCTATTTGGAAGTGACACAGGAAGCAGTTTTTGAGTTTAGTTTTACTTAATTAATGAAAAGATCAGGATTTCTCAATTTCTCAAAACAATTCAATTGTTGGTCTGACAATATTTTGGCTACTTGGACAAGAGGTGAGGATAAGAGGGAAGCTGCTACGTTTGTTATGAAATTCACATGTAGGTTCTTGACATCACAACTTTAGGAAGCATATGTGGTTTGAAATTCTGTTTAAAAGCAGGAATAGAGTCAAATCTAGGGATGCAAAGTGGCACAAAACAGAAACTTTGCATAGAAAGTTAAGGTGGGCAATTTCGAAAATAATCCAAACTGTAAACTTTCAACAGGAATGATTTGAATTAATGCAAATTGATGGAGTCACCCTGACATTTTTGGTAATTTATAGAGGAAAAGAAAAACGGTAATAAAACTCACTAATAAGGTTTTTTTTTTTTTCATTTAATTGCAAGTCAAACATTAATACAACACCTTGAATACGATGAGGGTTTCTAGAAATCATTTTTGCAGGGGTTGGGTTACAGTAATAGTGAACTGTTTGCATGATGCTGAGGGTTAGCATAGACATATTTTGACCTTATATCACAATAAAAAACATTTTTTTTTTTTACTGTGAACGAAGGTCCAACCTCTGGCTTTAAGGTGATCTGTTACATTTTATGATCACCATAAAAATAAACATTGGACATGACTCATGAGCGATGACCTCATCTAAAAGGTACATGGGGCAATAAAGGGACAGCGCATGCAAAAAGAGCACCTGGTTTCAATGGTTTAAACATCAGCTGAAGGTAGAGTTTCAAGTTTTTCAGCTTTTGCATGAGGCTTTGCTGCTAGTGTGTGCTTTATGCCATATTATACTACTTTATGATAAAACATTTTCCTATGTCTAAATGTCACAAAAAAGGCCATCTCTGGCCTTTTTCAGTTCTGTTAAAATTGTGCCCAGAATTCTCCATAAACAGCAGTTTTAAAAGTTACAGACTTAAAGCAGTTGTTCTTTTCTATAAAGAGTCTATCAGTTAAATGTAATAACCCACTTTTCTTGTGATTGGGGCAAGCAGGGGTTTGTTTTAAAATGCAGCTCCCTGCAGCACCCTGCCCTTGGAACAGAAAGTTTGACATTCAAAAAGAGCTGCAAACAGCAGCACTATGCAGGATCAGAGAGAGTCAGATTTTTGGAATGAGGCTTTTTAACAAGTCCTAAATACATGTAAAGCCTAACAGCCTGCTGTAAGCTGTACTCTGTATTCCGACTCTATATCTATGCAGACAAGCTTGGGCAAATACGGTTACATATTGTGGTTCAATTAAAAACACTTACTAACCTGAAGGAGCTTTCTGGGAGGGGAGATGGTGCCAGCTCCTCACTCACTGACGCTGATATTAGTGCTGATTTACAGACGGCCCTACGTCATTTCACATGTTAAGCTTTGCTGCTACTATATTCGCTTTGAAAATTTCCAAGGTTTCTGTTTCTGTTTAGGCTTCACAGCATACAGGATAGGATTCCGGAGTTTGTTCAGGGAGGTGAGGGTTAAACAGCGAAGAAGGAGCAGTGTTACGTTAGGTTTCTGCCAGCATTTATCTGTGTACTCAGGGATGTGGGAGGGCCTCGTCTGTCAAAGCTGTGTGGCTCCATTGTGTTCATTTAAGAGATTTACTGCAGATGAGTTAAATTAATGGGTAAGACTTGTCTTTAGTGATATTACCATATTATAAATACAGGTTTGATGTTGGCTTTTGTTTGGATTTGTTTTTGGACAGCCAGCGACACAATTCCATTTTTCCAGATTAGTAATAACAGTGTGTGTGATCAGTGAAGCAAGCTGTGATGGAGTAGGGGTGTAAAAATACATCAAGATTAAAAAAAGGGTCATTAAATTAGATGAGATTTTATATTATATATAACATATTTTGGTTTTCCTTTTTTCAAAATGAAGTAAAAGAAAAAAAATGTTTTTTTTCTATTTTAGCAACAGTAGTTATTAAGGTATATTGGAGGATTTTCACAAATATTTGAGAAGACCCACCCTTTTCACTTTAAAAACAAAAATGCACAGCAGAACCCTGTTCCCGCTCCAGAGACAGAACGCCTTTCAAAAGTGTGCGAGAGCGTGCACAAGCCCATTTCTACACGTGCATGCTCTGTTTAAAAGCTGCTGTTTGCAAAAGAAGATTTTCAATTTTTCCACTATGTCAGACTCGCCACCAGGAGGTGAAAATAGGGACGTGTACCTTTTGATTTGAACAAAATCTTGTCAAACACCACAGTGAGAAAGATGTTTCATTTTTTAAATGATAGGTCTTTTAGTTCCCTCTGGTAATGTACAGGGGACAGGAGTTTAAACTAACCATTTTAGATAAATAATTGCATAGGTTGCTTTCTTTGATGTACACCAGAGGAATGTATGAAGGAGATATCGGCTTTGATTTATCCAAATATTGACAGACAAACTTCTTAAAAACTAGTCAAAGCTTCTTTATTGTTTTGTAACAGATTATTGGCGGCTAGCTAAACATTTTTTTTAATTCACACAACATAGCTGCAACTCAAGAACTACTTTTTTCCCCTTTAAAATAAGGGTAATAGAGCTTTGATTTGTCTAATCTGATGAAATTTCATGTAGCTCTTTTATTCTAACAGGAAATAATGCTATATGGGAAAAATGTCATTACACCTCAAACTAAATATGTTGTCTCCTCTTTCTGCTTGTCCAACAGGATGAGTTTGACAAACTGCGGCACTTCTGTTACAGTCGCACCGACGCTCTGCTGCTGTGCTTCAGCGTGGTCAGCCCTGCCTCATTTCAAAATGTCTGGGAAAAATGGGTCCCTGAAATCCGTCGCCGCTGCCCCCTCACGCCGATCCTCCTGGTCGGCACGCAGTGCGATCTTCGAGAGGACGTCAAGGTGCTGATAGAGCTGGCGAGACGGAGAGAGAGGCCCGTTGCAGAAGAAGACGCCAAAGCATTTGCAGAAAAAATGGGAGCCGTCACATATGTGGAGTGTTCTGCGCTGACGCAGAAGAACCTAAAAGAGGTGTTCGATGCAGCCATCTCAGTGGGGCTCCGGCACTCTGACAGTAGGGCGCGTCGGGAGAGGAAAGTCCGGAGCACCGCTGATAAGATGAAGATGCTGTCTAAGTCATGGTGGAAGAAGTACGTGTGTGTCCAGTAGGAAGGGCGGAAACTGGAGTTTTTGCAGCCGACTCAAAACTGGAACTGTTGTGGTTTCGAGAGAGACTGTGTTAAATGTGAGGACTTTATGGTTACATTCCGATGGATGAGAAGCAGAGAGTGTTGACCTGAACTTTGTAGGTTGCAGATGGTTTCACTTCAGTGAGGAAAAAGAATAACTGACCAGCGTTCAACCAAAAACAACAGTGCAAACATCACATTGATTTCATATACTGGATTCATCCAAAGGAGTGTGAGCTGACTTGGAAGAAAAGGGTTCCTTGTTAATTATTTTGGATTTAGTTATTTTTATCATATCATTTGATATTTTTCTTTTATGTGATGTATCCCATTATGCAGACCTCAGAGTTCTTTATAGAGCAACTTCTAAATCGTTACCAATCAGGAAGGTAATTACTTCACTATGAACTGCCTAATTTAAGGAACCAATTTAAAGATGCAATTATTGAGTTGGTTATTCATTAACACAGGAAAGTCTAGTCTTCAAAAGGTTTGATTACAATCAAGTTTATCAGTATATGTAAATTCTAGGGTTGCAACTAACCATTATTTTTGCAAATCGATTAATCTGTCGATAATTTTTTCAATTAATCGATTATTAATCTGATAGCAAATTGTTCCTTAAAGAAGATTTTTTACAAAACCAAACCAGGTACAAACAAAACTTTTCCACTTGTGGAGGCTGGATAGAGCTTATTGATGGGAGAAAAATATTTTTTTTTTTATCTTAAATTCAAAATTCCCATATATTTTGTTACAATTTTGGTATAATTGCTACTCAAGCTGGGCTGTTCTGTCAGCTAAAGCCATGTTTTAGAATCTCTACACTCCAGTTAACGATTAATCAATTACTAAATTAGTTGACGATTATTTTGATAATCGATTAATTACGATTAATTGGTACAGCCCAAGTATACTCATACATATACTACATCTTTCAAATTATGGTTACCAGGCTACATACAATGGATTAGACATATGATTTAATCAAAAAGTTTCCCTTCTTTATTTTGGCGTCATGACATTGTTAATGTTTTATATACATTTCATACAAAAAATAACATTAGTAATTTGGACTTGTTTACAACTCACAAAGCTCATCTTGCAATGGCCTGTAAACCAGTCAAGGAACGGACAGTTATATGCAAATAAATACATTTTTTGAAATAAAATTGATATTCACTGCAAAGCATTTTGGATTTCGAAGATCACTGCGTGATTTCAACGTAATCTAAATATCGGAATGTTTCGTGTGGAGCCATTGTGTCTTTTGAAAACGGAATAAATGAGGTGAAAATGACCAAAGAGACAGATTCTTGGTTTGCTTCTTATTTTTCAGAAGCTCCTCTGATCCATTGTATCTATTTATCTGTTCCCTTCGGTTTAACTGATCGATTTCAACAAGCAGCAAATCTCCTACAAAACCTAATGTCCTTATGTATGTTGCATAGTAAATATTTACCATGTGTGTAATGCCATCATGATAAATCTATGTGCATATACAAGTGACTCATTCACTGGCTGTGCTGTTTGCTCTATAAATGGTACCTAACATAAGGAATGTTTCGGTTTCTGTCTGATATGAGAGGTTAAAGCTGAATGAGTGGAACTAAATAAAATGTGAAATATATCACCTTTTTGATCTAAGCCTCTTTATTTGCAAAATCTTTACGGCAACTGGTGTTAGTGAAGCGGATGACTGAGTGAGAGCTTTTGTTGCAGTGAATTCAAGAAGCTGCAATGAATAGATGTTTTTAGTTTGTTACAAGATTGCCATGGCAACTGGCAGTGCAGAACCTGTTAAAGGGCAACTAATACTTGGAAACATGTAAAAGTAAATACCACTAAATCAATTATTTAGAAATAAGACTGGAAAAAAAAAACTAGGTTGGTAAATATTGACACTTTTTTCACTGGCAAGTGTGAGTAAGATGAATCTCTTGGTAAGTGAGAAATGAATTCACTAATCGGCCAACATACTGACAGAAAGTACATTTCTGTGATTTGATAATGTGCAAAGGGGAGCGGAAAAATCTTGTTTGTTTGGCATCTTTCAAATCAACAGTTTTCATGATCAGTCAAACTGTAATGTGAAGCTGCAGTCCCATGACATCACTCATTGCTCCCTTTGCTGCATTGGCAGTCAGGGTTCAGCAGTTACCTGCTGCAGCTTCAATTGCTGGGAGTTGCTGTACCAGGTGGAAGTATATATTCATGGCTCTTTAAGTTAGTAACCACCAGATTCTGGAAAGCTGTTGGTGTGACTAGGCCATCGAGCAATCCTTGTTTTGACCTCCTGATATCAACCTGTCTTGTTCATGTTTTTCTCCTCCCTGCCTGCCTCGCCAATGTCAGATACTCCTATTGGCTTTTGATCTCTGAAAATTGACCTCCTGCCTTGCCTCTTGGCTTAGTCTGTTTACTCTTCCCACTGTCTGGATTGTTCTGTCAATCATGTTTGACCCATTTCTCATGGTGGTACCAGAGAGTCTTTAACAATTTCTCCTAGAGAGCAGAATGCAACGGTTCTCTGAAAAGTCGCAAATTGCTAGTTTTTTAGCAACAAAGTCAAAGTTGCAGACCTTCACAGTAACAAAACCATGTTTGACTTTTGGTATGAGGTTCTTTTTCTGATAAAATACATCTGATATATTTGGGACCCTCATCTTAAATAGTCCACTTCAGTGAAGCGAATATTTCCGAAAAGTCTTGAATCATAAACATACTCTTTGGCAAAACGCTGTTTTGCCTTTTAGTTTTTCATCAACTCTGCCTTGTACACCCAGTGCCTTATAGTTAAAATGAAACTAAACTAAACTGCAGCAGGCCAGCATTGCTTCAGCTGCTGTTCTAGTTATTTTGTAGCCTCCTCGAGGAGTTATAAATCAGCCCTTTTTCAGTTTTGCAAGGCAAGCCATTCCAGAGACGGTTTTTACTTATATTCCATGTTCTCTCCATTTATGGATAAACTATATCGTTGGCTTCCTCTGATCACACAGCTTTAGAAATACCCTTGCATTTCCTGATTTATAGATAGGAATAGGAAGTAACACATTAAGACACAGCAAAATAAAAAAAAAAGAAGGGATGTCTGCAAATTGTAATTAATAATGTTAGTAGGTATGAATTAAGATGAAATTGAATAGTTAATCTTTTTTTATACAAAACTTAAGTGAGATTATTTGCTACACAGAGTAAAAAAGGCAAACGATAAAAGTTGTAATAAAACACCTGCAACATTAATCCTTAATCATTTTCAATGGCTATGACCTAAAGGTAATTTTCCCGTTTATCCTGAAGGCATTCTGATGTGAGTGTTGACAGTTGTCTGATGGTTCCTAATACTGAAACCTTTTATCTCCAGTCCTGGCCCTCTAAAATCCTCCCTTAAATAAAAAAAAGGTCATAAAACTTGAGTAACTGTGAAAAGGTCTTCTTGATGTCTAAAATTAAATGTTGATCAATTTTAGGGTTTTATTCATCTTAATTTTGTAGGAAATATTTCTGATTCCATTTAAAAGTTATCAGTGGTTCACTGTCAGTACAGCTGACACAATCACAGATGACAGATCAGCAACAGATATCGTCAATACGTTTCCAGACTTCACCTCCTTGGATGGCCTCCTTCACATACTGTAATGGAGCTGTATCATTGCTTGGATGATCCCAAAAGCTATGTTGTTGAGGCAATAATTGTCCTGGTTGGGTCTTTTATAGTAAAAATCTCTGGATTATGGACTAGGAGTGAGTTAAAAGCCTTGATGACAGCAAAAAATCAAGGCTAGCAACATTGCCCCGTTCTTACGTTTCTGAGTTTGAACATCAGCCTGCTTAAGTGAGAGCCTGGTGATCGGGCATAGGCCGGTTCACACTGCAACATTTTAAAATTGCATGCTAATTTTAAAACTTAAATAAAAAAAGAAACCCCATGATAAAAAAAATTAGGCATAAAACAGTTTTGATCATATAGCATAAACACAAGCAAAGCAGACCACATTCAACAGTAAAAAAAAAAAAAAACATTTAGGCATCAGAAGACTAAATCTTGCTGAGCCCTCGAGATAAAATGGAAGTATAGAATAAACAAACATAAAACAGAAACAAACAGAAATGAAAAGAAAAGAAAATACATTGGGTAAAGGGGTGAAGACATGTGCTACACATGAAACCCTATGATTTGGAGGTAAATTGTCCTTTATTTTGTTCTCACGAAATGTGAATGCACACTGTGTTTTAAATCTAGCTGTTTTGGTTGATTGCAGTTAAAATCAATGAACATACATTTCTTATATACATGAATATAGCTTCAGGTTTGTATTGCTTTAGCAGTTAAAGGCTCTATGTGCAGATCAAAACAAACAGATCCTAAATGATAGAATTGTCTTGGATGATTTTATGAAATGTTGTGTACTTGGTTCTCAGAGGGACATAAAGAGAATAGGACATCAGATCAAGATTAAAGCAGTCCCCATGTTCTACCGAGAAACCCTATCACTCTTGTAACACCCCACATGGCATCATTATATCTCCGATAATCAGGGCCAAAGGAAATCAGCATGAATATCCTGCCATGAGTACCCCCTGAGATTCTTGTTGGACTCTGCCAAGCCAATCTGGAACATGCAAGTCAGAGGCGGAGGGAACCAGATCCAAGACTTGTAAGCTGACCCTGGGAAATGGAATATCACCTTGCTGGGTATAAAGGAGCCTGAGCTTGTCCATGAGGTTAAAGTATACAGGCAAGTAATAGTTGGGCTCACCGCCATGTTCAGCCCGGGCATTGAAATTTAGCTCTTTGAGAGAGGGAGACTGGATTCTCATCTACAGTGAAGGGGATAGAGGGGGAGTGTTCATACTTGTGTTCATAGTGTTCATACTTGTTGGGGTTCACCACTGCACCTGGGGACATAAAGTCTGAGAGGACCTTGTTCTTTGCCTCTCTTGTTGATGTGGTAACGTTTAGCTAAGGCTGCAAGGTCTATGGCGTGTGCCGAGCCTTCTGGTTTGTGGTGTTCCTAAGGCACCAAAAAGGTACCTTGTGACAAGGAATGCCATTGCCTGAGTTGATGCAGGACAAAAAACTTAATTCTGGCAGACGTTCATTGAGGCCATGGAGAAAGACTACCAATCAACTTCATAGAGATCCTGGCAAACCATTCTGGAAGGGGGCAAGCAGTGCT